CCTGTCTATATAATCTCATCCGGCTGCATTACTTTTCAATTAATAAAAGGAGCAGAAATATTTTCTCCAAGCTCGTTCCTCGTTTTAATTTCAATATGCAATAATATGTATTTGAATCCTAACCACAAGAGGTAGATCAGTAGAACGAAAATTTCCTAACAGAAAAAAGAGTGAAACTGGTAGAAGTTCTACAGTAAAGAGCTCACTCAAGATGACCTAATCAGATATAAGATATGACACATCAAAGTCAATGCGATGGTAATATCATCATCCTTAAGTGTGGAATCTACTACTCTTAACTATAGTTAGAATCTCCAGGTTGCGCATAAAAAATAACTTCGAAAGAAGTGAAGATGGTGTACTAATTTATTCCCATATGTAGGCATAAAGCTCATGTACCACATGCCACTTTCACTTCCCAAGTGAGTTTAGATTTGGGTTATTGCAAACTAAAAATATTAACTATACGCAGACAGAAAAAACCATTTTGGGAATATTTGGGATTCATAAGTATGATTTTATATGTTAATTCAGCAAATTAAAACGCTAGATTACAGGGATAACTCCATGAAATGGAAAACCTGTTGAAAATTTTTCCATCGCAAGAGCTTCCCTGTAAAATTCAGCATACATCTATATAAAAAAGCTTTTAGAGAGAAGCTTACTTACATCATTCCATATTATACCTACCAAAAACTTCTCTGTATTCATAAAAAAGCTTTTAGAGAGAAGCTTACTTACATCATGCCATATTATACCAAGAACTTCTCTGTATTCATATGTGCCAACCACAGCCCTAACCCACCATTAAACTAATCCTAAACCTTATATCGAGTCAGACGAAAGGTCAGTTTCAGACGAATACAACAAATGACGGCTACCAGTTAACATAAGTTGAACATGAAGAGTAATTCAGGAGTTAATACGACTGGTGAGGCCAGATGAAAAACTCGGCTGGTGGTGATGGCATCAAAGGCATTGGAGTTACCATGGAAGTATCGGCTGAGGCTCCTGTATTGCTCGACTGAAGGTGCTGGAAGAGACTATGATGATAGAACGGGGCTGTTGTATCATAAGGCAGGCCATACGGGATATTCGACACTGACACTGGTTGAACGGCTGCAAAATTAATGTTGTTGCTGCTGCACGGGAGGCTCAATGGTGGTTTCTCTTCAGCTTCGAGAGAGAGTTTCAAGCGCTTTGCGGTTCCGCCGATAGGAAGAGAACTATTAGCAATGGCTTCAACGTCATATCGACTCATCTCGAAATTTGTCACTGCATTCAATCCCCGAAACTTTATTGCAGCAATGTCGTATGCCTCCGCCGCTTCCTCCTCAGTAGCTGTCAAAATAACATAACACTCGTAATTATTTCAATGGAGAGAATAATAAAATTGATAATTTCAAATATTCGAGAAAACAATATTATACCAAATGTTCCGAGGTACAGATCTTTATTCCCAGCAACACGACCAATCCTTGCTTGCCATCGGCCTTGTTGATGATGCCTGCAAAAGTTCACAACTGGTTAGTACGTAAGCACAAGTTTTATAAACATTATTATAAATAAAGATAAATGTAAATTTGTTATATGATAAGAGCTCAGACCTTGTAACACCCCTATAAATCGATGCGCCCCTTGAGAAACCACTACTCTTCCTGAAGACATTGAAGAAAATTTCAAGTTAATGCTAATTTACAAAGTTATTCACAGAATTTGACGTCATTGATCGACAAATTCAAGAATAGATGAAGTATGCAAACCTTCTCAGCGACGCAATGAATTCTTGTTTGGTCGCATGCTTCATCTCCTCGAGTTCTTTGGTATAATTCGAGATCTGAAAGGGGGGACATTGTCGAGTTAGATTTCTTTTTAGCATGTGGACCGGATGGCGTTCGACAATATTAAAGAAGAAAAATAGTCTAATAGCATAATTATTACCGGAAAGTTGGTGGTGGCGGTCGGACCCCAGTACTTAAGAGCTGCCAAATCATAAGCCCGTGCAGCCTTTTCTTCCTTATCATATCCACCTATATATCACAGATTTCACAATAAATAATCACGAGAACTAAAACAATAAAAACGTGCATCTAAAACATAGGTGAAAAGCTAAAATTACTCACCCAAGTACACTGCAGACCATAGTTCCACATTGTGAGAAATATCCAGTCCCATTTCATGCAAATGAACAAACATTAGAACACAATCCAAGAAAATATAAGTTCAGTAAATTAACAGCATATAAACATAGTAAAAGAAAGGAGTAAAAAATTCGGTTTGTTATGATCCTAGTGCGTTCGTATTGACCAACCTACTATAGATTGTTTCGATATTTTCTCAAATATGTAACCATTTCATATAAATTGTCCAACTTTTTTTTGATATCAACCTTCTAGCCTTGTAGTGTTTAATATGGCACCAGAAAGTTCAAAAAGTTGAAGCCTACATAACATTTCCATTTATAAAATTTTAAAAAAGGCACCCACTTTCAAAAATCGCAGGTGCAATCAAGCAAACAAATTATACTTCGAAGCAACCTTATCAAGAAAACATTTTCAGAACATAAAACAGATGACCATCCTACACCGCGAAATATTTTCATATTTTCTTAGAAATTTTTTACCCTTAACTTACAATTATTACAGAAAAATCAAAAGTAAAATAAATCCACAAAATAAGGAGGCAATTTATTCAAATTTCGCATGGGGATTGGTACTTGGTCAAATCCATTGAGTCTTTGGCCCAGGAATATTGAAAAAGCAAAAGTTAAAAAGCAATCTGATAAAAGTCAAGAGTTTCAGGCAATTGTCCAGACTTGCTTGCACAATTACCAGACCAACTAGCATCTTCGATACACAATAATATAAAGAACACTGCATAGATTCTAACTTATTTTTCTGTACTGTCGAGTTGAGCAACCTTGTCATTAGATGCTATAACAAGTGAAGGTAAAAAAAATATATGGTAGACGGTACTGAATAACACCACATAGAGTTTTAGTTTTTTTTTTTTTTTTTGTACCGTTTTTTTTAGGTTTTAAGATTTTTTTTAAAAGTTTTTTTTNAAATCAATGAAAGAGTGAATCAAACAAAACAGGAAAATCAAGTACAAATTTGTAAACATTTCAGTCAATCAATCATCATAAAGTCTGATTGAAAGAAACAAATTGCATCCCTCAGATTGTCCTTTTATCACCTGATTGACTGATTCCCCTCTTCAATGCATGCCATGCAAATTCAATGTTCAGTTCTTACATTTTTAATATTATTATTCAAATAAATTAAAAAGAAAAAAAATGAAAAATTTATACCTTGACGCCCTTTTCTTGCTTGTCCCTCCCTTCTGCAACTGTTATCCCATAGATGCGCTTCATATCTTCCTGTCCATCTGTGTCTGCATCAAACCCAAATTCACAAGGTTAAATATCGAAAACAAGTTTCATGCACTTGTAGTTTTTCAAGCACCGTGCAGCCTTAAGGTCTCAAAGAATAAAACCCGGTTTTGAGCGAATTAAATTTCATTTTTTCCCGGAAGTAAAATAGAGGAAAATGGTTACCTGGTGACGCCTCTGTAGATGGAAGTTCTCTGACCAAAAGTGTCAGCAATTTTCTTACAACCTTCGGAGGATTGAACAGAAGCAATAGCCTTAACGTTGTTATTCTCGGTGCACTGAACATTGTTATTCACGCCAAGGGACAAAGCATGAACAGTAGTATTAGAACCAGTAATAGCAGCCTGAGGGTAAGCCACCAACTCGCTTCCTGACTCAACGGGTGACTGAGTGTGGCCCACAAACGCCGAGTCATCCACCTCGGAGCCCGAGTTTGCAGAAAAGGCTTGAAACCCAGTAATCGTCTTGGGATCTTGCTGCTCACTTCTGTTGAAGTAGGCCACGCGTCCGCCGTTGGCCTGGTGGTGGTCGTAGATGTGAGTTAGGGAAGAAGAGTCTTGAGTCTCCGTCGACTCGCCGCCAAAGAAATCCTCCAGTTTAGGCGGTGGCTGCATGTTTTGGTGCAATTCTGAGTCCATATAGCCTGTGAAAATCAAGTTGTTCTCTTTTTCTTGATGATTTTCAGCTTCTGTGTACATGACTTGAGGTTTTGGGTTAGCCCACCCTACAAAGCCAAAAGAGGGGTGTAAATCTACAAACAAAAATATATGATAATGTGAAGTATGTGAATAGAAATGTCAAATTTAGTAACTGAATCGAAGAAAAAAAATGCGCAGTAACGGAAATGGGAGAACACGAGTGCATTTTCTTGTCCTTTTCGACTTTTTCAAACTTGATTTCCTCAGCATTCAAACGGAAACATGGAGGTTTTTATGCAAGATTTGATTCAAAGCTTCAAAAACCTCCAAAAAAGCTGATATATACACATATATTTACCATTGGCATAGAAATTATCGGCAAATGAATAATAATTGTGAGAATCCACAGAGGACGAAGCATTCATTGTAGATTGAAGCATTTCCATTGAAGACAAGGAGAATGATAGCCAGTTATTTTCTGGTGCCATTTCGCTTAAAATTATTTTCTTCTTCAAAAAAGATTCACTCCATTGACGGTGAAAAAAAAAGGCTTCTTTTTTTAATCAAAATAAGTTGAAACTATCAAAATGACATGCAAAGAGAAAAACTCAAAACAACAGCTAGCAGTAGAAGCAATTAAGTAAAAGTGAAGAGAGATTGTGGGGTTATTAAAAGAGTTTGGGTAAAAAAATGTCAAAGCTAGTTGGCAAGTTACAGTAGAGAGATAAATAAAGAGAGAATAGAGAGAGGGAGCAGAAAGTGGCAAGTGGAGGAATACAATGGGAAGAAGAGGCGGTGTAATCTGCCATTCGGCGTAAAAATAGAGGGGTCATTGGGGGCACTTTTAAGTGATTTTGGAGGAAATGAGTGATTTTGAGTTGAGAAGACTACAACTAACATTAAAATAAGCAGTAAAATATGGAGTGAGTGAGGCACTGAGCAGTGGCTTTTGGCTTTACTCGGAAGAAGTTTTGTCTCTTAACATGGTTGCTAAAGATCCGGGCTGGTGGTCTTTTCTTTTTGAAAGAAAATGTAATTTAATTTTTACCCTTAATTGGGTTCATCGGTCATCGATGTGTGTAAAATGAGTTGAGTTATACAGTATAAAAGTCGAGGGGTCGATTAGTAGAAAGATACTTGGTTTTCCTTTTTGTTTGAATAATTAACTCTTATTAGTTTCGGCTCTCTAAAACTTGATAGGCATCTTATTTCGTAAAGTGGATAGTGTTACATCATTTTGCTAGAAATCGAAAGAAAATTTTTGAATATTAGCAATTTTATTATATAGTTAAAATTCTTTTTGTTGTTTTGAGAAATAATAATGATAGAGAGGCTCTTGCATTTCTAATGTTGAAATCGGAATCGCTAGTGATCATTGATCATGATAACATAGATGATCGAATTCAGTTTCAACTAGACATCAAGCATGACTCTTGCTCCAACACTTGAGAGTTTAGAAGTTCGAGGGGTCAATGGATGGCATCCGGCTCAAGGCACAATCATCCGTTGTTATTGGTTATATCAGTATTTTGCTCGCACAAACTTAAAATTTATCAACTATTGTGGTTGAATCCAACTATGATTCAACCCATTGGATGACACCACAACAAGACTCCAATTCACCCAAAAGTATGTCCGACGATGATAACATTCAGCCAAGGCTAGGCCGACGAGGGAGAAACATAAGCCTAAAACAAGTACGAAAGGACTCTTTACCTTCGGTACTTTTGAGATACATTTTTCATGTATAATTTACATATTTTTTTCTGGAATAATGCTAGAG